TGCTGTGGGGTGCTGCAGGGTGCTGTGGGGTGCTATGGGGTGCCACAGGGAGCACAGCCCCACAGCATACAGGATTCCGTGGGATCCGCTGCTCTGTGGGACGTGAGATGCTGGGGAGCCCACGGGGCTCTGGGGTGGGGGAGGCCACGGGATGCAGGAGGCCGTGGGGTGGTGTAGGATGCTATAGGCTGCTATAGGATTCTGTGGGATGCTGTGGGATGCTGTGGAATTCCGTGGGGTGCTGTGGGATACTGTGGGATGCTGTGGGATTCTGTGGAATTCTGTAGGATGCTGCGGGATGCTGTGGAATTCCGTGGGGTGCTGTAGGATGCTGTGGGATGCTGTGGAATTCCGTGGGGTGCTGTGGGATGCTGTGGGATGCTGTGGAATTCCGTGGGGTGCTGTAGGATACTGTGGGATGCTGTGGAATTCCGTGGGGTGCTGTGGGATGCTGTGGAATTCCGTGGGGTGCTGTAGGATACTGTGGGATGCTGTGGAATTCCGTGGGGTGCTGTGGGGTGATGCAGGAGGCCGTGGGATGCTGTGGAATTCCGTGGGGTGCTGTGGGATGCTGCGGGATGCTGTGGAATTCCGTGGGGTGCTGTAGGATGCCGTGGGATGCTGTGGAATTCCGTGGGGTGCTGTGGGGTGGTGTGGGATGCTGTGGAATTCCGTGGGGTGCTGTGGGATGCTGCAGGCTCCACAGCCCCACAGCATGTGGGGTGCTGTGCCCTGTAGGATGCCCCCGTGGGGTGCAGAAAGCCACGGGCTGTGGGGTGCTGGGGGGGGTCCCTGTCCCCTGGGGGGGGTCCCTGTCCCCCGGGGTGACACAGGGGGTACACCGTGGGCTGCAGGACCCTCTGTGTCCCCCGTGGGTCCCGTGTCCCCCGTGGGTGCCGTGTCCCCCGTGGGTGCCGTGTCCCCTATGTGTCCCGTGTCCCCCGTGGGTGCCGTGTCCCCCGTGTCCCCCGTGGGTCCCGTGTCCCCCGTGTGTCCCGTGTCCCCCGTGGGTGCTGTGTCCCCCGTGTCCCCCGTGTGTCCCCCGTCCCCCGTGGGTGCCGTGGCTGCCGCGGGGGCTGCAGCAGGACCCCCCCGGCCCCCCCGGCGCTGCGCAGAGCTGATTTCCATGATTTCCATGCCGGAATTAATGAGGCTGCCGCCGGTGCGGGGACGGCGACGCCGGGGACGTGGCGCGGGTCAGGCCACGTTGCCATGGCGCTGCAGCCTGGCAGAGCCGGGGGGAGCCCCCCGAGCCCCCCAAAACCCCCCACGAGTCCCCGGGGTGCCCCCACACCCCTGGCCCCGTCCCAGTGCCCGGCTGGGCTGAACTGGGGGTGCCAGCGGGGAGCTGGGCCCCCGCACGTTCCCATGGGTGCCCCCCACCCCAGGCACGCCGGGACCCCCGCGAGCATCCTGGTGACCCCATAAATTTTGGGGGGACCAGCCTGTGCGTTGGTGGGTGGGGGGGGATTGGGAGCAGCTGCCCCACAGCGGGGTCTGGGGTCTCCCCTGGGGTGAGCAGCCCCCCAAAGTGCCCCCCACCCCCAAATTTCCCCCCCGCCGCCCTGGATCCCGCAGGAGGAGCCGCAGCTCCCCAGCCTGCTGCCATGGCAACTCCGCTCGGCATCCCCGAATTCCGGGGGGCAGAACCGGCTCCCGGCTCTGGGAGGGGGCGGCAGCGACCCCCGCCCTCCCTCTGCCTCCGGGGCAGCGGCGGGGGTCCCCAGGACGGGGACGGCGCCTGGGCTCAGCCCTGGGACCCCCGTGGGTCCCCACCCCCGCCGTGGGGCAGACCCCAAATTTTGCCGTCCCCAAGCCCGGGGGTGTCACCGGCAGCATCGCTGTCCCCGGAGCAGCGGCGGCGGCGGCGCCCACCGGGACCCCCATCCCCGCCCTGCCTTGGGGGGCGCAGGGCCCCCCGGGGTGGAGGGGGCAGCGCGGGGTCCCCCCCTTTTTCCTGCTCGCTCCGAAGCAAATTGGAAGCAGTTGTGGCGGCGGGGCCGAGCCGGAAAAGCGGCGCATTCCTTCCCCGGCCGGCGGCGAGCGGGGCCGGGGCCCCCCTGCCCGCGCCCCCCCGGCCCCGGGGGGGCTGGGGGCGCCGGGGACCCCCGTTCTGAGCCGCGTGTCCCCGCAGAGCGCGGCGGCGGCGCCCAGCCCGGTGATGGGGAGCCTGCCCCCCGGGGACGGCATGCCCGGGGGTCCCGTGCCCCCCGCCTTCTTCCAGGTGCGCAGCCCCCCCACCCACACCCC